CCCCAAAACCCCAAAACCCCTTAACTACTAAAAATGATGAAAATAGCATAGTGATTAATTAATTTGATTTGTTTCAGATACTATGTAAATCTTTTCCTTAATTTAATATTGTAATTACAATATCAAGGCTTTATTATGGATAAGAGTACTACAAGAATTGAACCGGATCAGCCACTTTTAACTAATGATAATGACATGGATAACGAGAGACTGTCGCCTCAACAAAAGAAATAAATGAGAGATAGAGAAGATCTGAACTTTTGGAATGTAATGAAGCAGATCTGTGATTTGTCGGTTTATCCCATTGTAGGAATGTTGTTCCATCCAGCCTATCAGATTGTAAATACTATTATATTGGGATAAGATGATGAAGCAGTCAATAACTTAGCCATCTTTGGACTTGCTACAGTTACAATGAGTATTGCAATGATGTCAATTCAATTATCATTTAACAACGCACTAATGACCTTAGTATCTCAAGCACATGGCTAACAAGAACCGAGACTTTGTAGTATATATCTTAACAGATAACTAGTTCTAAATGTTATTGTTTTCATTCCACTCTGCATATTGCTTTTGTTTGCAGAGTCATTTTTCTTGGCTATAGGTCAACAAGCTGAGATCGCTTAAAGAGCATCTAATTATATAAGAGTACTTTTGCCAGGATATTTTTGCTTTGGTATCTTCCACGCTTACTAAAAGTATCTTGCAGGCCAGAAAGAAGTCAGGCTATCAACATTTTCCTATGTCTTAGCATTCATAATACACCTTCCAGTAAGTTACTTACTCGCAGTCTATTATGATATGGGAGTTGAGGGCATTGCAATAGCCTCTAGCATCCATTTATCTATGAGGTTAATTATCTTGAGTATTGCAATAAAATTTTCTCAATTCAATAGTAACTTAGTTTCTATAATAGACTAGGAGACTTTTAGAAATCTTAAGCCTTAGATGAAGATGAGTCTTTACTCAAGCGGCATGCTTATCTGGGGTTGGTGGGCTTTTGATATCTTTACTTTTCTTAGTAACTTTATGACTAATGATATAATGGCAGCACAAATAGTTTGCAGGCAAATCGTTTTGCTATTCTATATGATACCAATTGGACTTTCAATAGCATCATCAATTCTGGTAGGCAATATGATCGGTAAGAAGAGTATAAAAGGAGCTAAGGTGTATGGTTAAGTATGTTCTTTGACTTCACTAGCTTGGGGCTTTCTAAGTGTTTTAGTGATGATGATTTTTGGTAACTAGATAGTAAAGTTATTTAGTTCAGAATAAACAGTGATTAATCTTATTAACGAGGCTTTTGTAATGCTATGTCTTTACATTCTATTTGATTGTTTGTAATGTATTGGGACTGGCATCATAAGTGGACTCGGTAAGCAAAACAAGGGATCTCTATTGACAGTAATAGGATTTTGGGGTTTAGGAATACCACTAGCATTTGTATAGATATTTTATTTTAAAATGGGTATCACTGCCTTGTGGTAAGGTCCTCTAGTTGCTATTGCTTTTAACTCAGTTGCTTATTATGCATTTATCTTATGCGTTGATCTTAAAGAAACAATTAGAATTGCTGAGGAGAGAAGACTTAGAGAGAAAAATCATTTATGATGAGGGCCATTATTATTAAAGATTAATGCAGGAAAACACTTAGTATTTTCTAATTAAAGACATTAATGAAATTTTATTGATTTAAATTAAAAATATGATTATGATGAGTATAAAATTTATTTATTTAAGTACCTGTGGGGTTTTGGGGTTTTGGGG